TATTATTTTTAAAGATAATACTTTGTACATTTTAATGTCCTTAACATTTTACTTTGTAACTATAACACTATAAGAAAAGGTATGAACCGTTTTAAGCAACCACTTTTAATGTATATTATTAAATTATTATTAACAAATTGCAATTCAGCAGATTTGCTCGTCCTCACCGATTTGATTTGGCCCATCCAGTTTGGTTATTGTAAGTCTCTAATTTTTTCAATTCCTTCCTCTAAATCTGCAGGTAATATATAATACCTTCTGTTATGTTCTCTTTGAGGTATAAGAACAAATAAAAAGGCCAAACCCCGTATTTGCACCCTCCATTTAATTCTTTTTCACGGTCAACATCTTTCAAAATTTTTTTTCCTATTCACACCCTCAACTTTTCAAAACCTGTGAAAAACCCAATATTTTAACGCGCCATCACGGAAACGTTAAAAAATACATTACGTGGCACCCAAAAATTGACATGACACTATATGGCATTAGTTATCCAATGTGGACTCTTTTTTTATGACATGACATAATTTTTTACATAAGTGGATGCCATGTGGACTTTTTTAATTAATGATGACATGGCATAATTCAAATTATTTCATTTTAGTTAATTTCAATGTGGACTTTTTTTTTCTTTTTGATGATGTGGCATTTCTTCATCTTTTTCTTTCCCCCTCATCCTCAGCATCATCTTCATCATCCTCCATCTTGACCATCCCTCTTTTCAATGGGTTCTACGAAACCTAGATTTGGGTTCTTGCGCAGAACCCAGATTTGGGTTCCCCACGGGTGATGAACTGAAATTATATACATATTAATGTTGAATTGTTTCCTTGATATTATTAATATTTGGATGAACTTTATGAGATTTTACATGAGTTTTATTCTTTATGCAGAAAAGGACTTGAATGCATAATAATAAGAGTTTTAGGATTAATTGAACATCTTTTGAAAATTGAGGGACTAAACTGCAAGAAGAAAGGCACTACCTTGAGGACCTAATTGAATGAATCTTAAGTTTTGGGACCTCAGTGCTCATCGTACAAAACCTGGAGGATCATATCTGAAATTTTACCATTAAAGAAATTGCAAAACAAGGCCAGAAAACCCGACATGGGTGTGGTGTCGATACATTAATGGGGTGTCGACACTATGCGTCGAGCAACCAGAATTCAAGATTTTGTTTCCTGTTTTGTGTTAACACGTAATTAAGGGTATCGGCACTATACATTCAGCGTCCAAAATCTCAATTTCCTATTTTGTCTCGAGTCCTACATCTTTTCTAATAGGATTTCTTAAACTCTTTAAATACCCATTCAAAAATCAATTTAAGGGCTTTTGAGAGGAGACCAAGAGAGACAGTTACAAGGAATTCAACAACGAAAGGAGATCAAGGCTTGAGATTTTATATTGTCAAATTGGTTTTGTTTGTCCTTGAATTTTATTTTATGATGTTGGATACTCATATATTCATCATAAGATTGTTGATTTTCTTTTTCTTAATTATGAACTGATTTAGCTATCTAAGGTTACGATGTAACTTGATCAATTTAATATAGAATTTTATGATTTTTACACTTTCAAAGGTTATTATTTTATGTAGAGTATATATTATTGTTCTTAATACTTTTTACTGATTGGCCACCATTAAAACTGATTTGGAGAGTATAATTGAGATCGAGAGGAGATTTTATACAATAATTTCTAGTAATATATACCATGAATTGAATGAAAGCCAGAGATAGACCAATGTGATTTGTGCAGCATTAGTGATAAGTGGACTTAATTTTCTACGTAAACTAGGAAATTTCACAAAATATAATGCATCTTTATCTATTTAAATTCACATAGAAATATAGTGGGTTAATAGGTGAAGATAGGTTTGGTATAACTTAAGAAAGTATATCAAATAGGATAGGAAATCCCACTGTCACATAAATAATAAATATCTTGAAAGTATATTAATCTAAATTCTATATTAATTGGTTATGGTAAAATCGGATGCTTTAGAATTTTAATTCTTAGTGTTACTCAAAGTCAATTTAGTTTTTCTTTAATTTGTTTAGTTGTTTAGTTTATTCAAATCATTTAATTTCAATTGTTCAAATAAAATTAGAATTAGTTAATTTTGGTACTTAGTTAGTCTATAGTTTTTGTAGGACGATACTCTATTTTCATCATTATATTACTTGAACTGACTAGTACACTTGTTAGAGTGGAATTAGCTCATCATCGGGGTCACGGGGAACCCAGATTCTGGGTTTTTGAGCATAACCCATAAACCGGGTTCCCCACGAGGAACCCAGATCTGGGTTCTGACCTTTTTTTTTTTATTTTTTTATTTTGAATGTATTTATCTTAGTTTCATATCTATTTGAATTTATTTAATATAATTCTCATAGAGACCCATATTTTCTTGAAATTTAAGTTGGAATCTAATTTCGTAGCTAAATCTCAAAAGAATTTCAATTTTTCATGAAATTAACGGCATAATCCCAACAATTTGTAAGTTGATCTTAACATTTTTTTTATCAGCAAAAAATAATTTAATGAGGGAGTACAAGCCTACAAGGGTATTCCAACCCTTTACAATCTTGATGTCAAATTCAAGAGCATATAACAACATTAAAAGTTTGAGGGCTTAGCCATTAATTTACCCTTTTTATCTAAATTGTAGTCGCAATTAAGCTACTTCTAAATTTTGTTTGGCCCTAGTATCTCAACTTCCTTTAATTTCTTACGCTAATCCTACAGGTACACTATCTATTAAGTCTTCAATCTTGATTTTGTTATGTCCTCTTTAGAGTATATATATAAAATGAAAATGTCTCAATTTCGTTGCGGATCTCATGATCTTATTAGCAAAGCTGCTCTTTTTTCTAGTTAGATTCCTTTATTTTAAATTGTTTGTGTTTACCTTAATTACAAGCTAAGCTAACTTATTAATCTAGAAAATTCTCTTTTTCTTTTTTTCTTGGGTATTCAAAGTACATGTAGATATTTCTCCAAGTGATCATATTGGAATCATATGCTATTCTTCTGGGAAATATCCATCAACCCCTCTGAACAACAGAATTAAGCTTGCAATTGCAGATTTGCAGATCTGCTGCTTCTTCTAATTTGCTAGGCCTAATTTTGGTACTAGTGTCCAACGTTCTTCGATTCCTTTTGCTAAACCTGCA